ATGCATTGCACTAACTCGAAAAAGAAATAGAACGAACAGTAGAAAATAGCTTTGCATACTTCCTTTCCATGTAAACAACGATGTTCAAAAGCAGTAAGAAGAAATTCTGTTCGGCTTTGCATAAAATTAAACAAAAAATCAGAATCCTCTAATTTATCTCCTTCCTCATGCTTCAAAAAGCATTCGCGGACTAAAAATTTCACACAATTGACAGCAAATTTGCAGCCTTAATCCTGCATGTCATTACACTTCTCCCTTTCTATCATCTTAAAAAACTTTTTCAAAAAAAAAAAAAACGCTCCTGTTTCAACAGCAAGTAAATAAACGAAACTTCAAGAATTCTTTTTTGCTTTCACTTCCCAGTTGATAACGGCAAATTAATTCTTTCAAGTTTTACGCACAGCTAGAGATAAAGTACTGAAAACGGCAAAGAATACGTGAATAGATGACACTTTTGCTCAAAAATTAGAAAAAAAAAACAAGCTTTAATTCAACTGTTGTATATCTTTCTAATCAGCAATGTTTCATATCCTAATCGGATAAATAAAGAATCTTACATACTTCCGGGTCAGACACAACGCTGATATTCTGCCGAAATACAGCAGTCGGATGTGCATTTTGCACAGTGCTGCTACCAGCGGCATTTACCGCAACATCGTCGGTGGTTGGTGATGCAGATGCAGGCTCTTCTTCCAACCAAAAATAATTGATACCGTTTTCGACAGTGGTTTTTAAGGGTTCACGAAACTCATTTTTCTGCATCTGATCTCTATCAGGCCTCATAATTGGACGTCATTCGAGTTTTCAATTCCCTAAAACATTAAGCAACAGTAAATCCTAATTACACACAGATACACAGATATATATACAGACACACATTAATATTGCATTATAGAGATCATCACTGCCATCATCGTCTCCTCAGCCGTGTCATCGTTAAAACAGTCAACTGTAGAGCCAAGCGAAAAAAACATTCATCTTTCAACTACTATTATACAACACTCGAATTTTCTCTCTTCTCCCAGCAGCAAGGAGGAAAAAATTGTTTTATTAGACCACTCTTAAATGAAGAAAAAAAAGGAGGAGAAAGAGATGATGATGACAATAAAAAAATAGATAGAAATTTGAGGAAATCTACATTTTGTGGGCAATTTTTTTAAGGACAAACGTATCAAAGTTGAGGAATGGTGCTCGTCACACTCAAACAAAGAGCTATTAACGAAAAATGTCATAAGGAAGCGCGGGGTTTCGTTTTTTCTCTCAACCCTCAAAATTTCTGCAATCGGACTTCAGTGTCCTCAGTCAATGACCAATGCCGTAACGCCATCACCAATGCGACATGACTAAGTAAATGAGCAATTACTGACAGTAGTTCTTCGAGTATTTTGCAGAAATTTTTAGTTGCTTTTTTCTTAAAAAAAAAAAA